CCACTTCAGAAAGAGTCACTTTTAGTTTAGTCTGAGATATGCAAATCCGCTTCGAACAGTAAAGAACTTGGCTCTTATAGTTGTTCGAGGTTTCGGAAAAGATAGTTTTCTATCTCCTCCTCTTGTTATGGAAGGATGAATGTCGTAGAATTGCGAAAGATTAACTGCGAATTTCCCAATGATAAGGTTGTGAACCATGCAAAGGTCAAAAAGTTTACGCCTGGATTCTAGACTGGATAGATTGAATAACTTGTTTCTGAATTCAGCTCTGGGTATTCTGGAATAAACAAAGCCGCAACGCCGTATGAACATCTTTCTAGTGAAGTTGTTCTGTACCTTTTCGATCAGAGAAATATCTTTCTTTTTGTGAGGTGAGAAGATGATGGTTGACGATTCAACAATTGGCCGGATATACATTTTGTACGCTTTTAGTAGAATTTTAGTGATCAACAAGTGTAAATAGTAGAGCTAGATTAGTAGAATTTTAGTATCACAAGTAGTAAGAGCCTTGAAGATGTGAAAAGTACGAATGAATGCCTTCCTATGTATCTCTTTGTAATGAGCCAAAAAGTCAAGTTTATCATCATAGAGGAAACCTAGATCTTTGATGCTTCTCACTGTAGCAATTTCAGCTTCACCAATATGGTAAGCGTGGGGTAGTGAGGAATTTCCTAATCGCATATGATATAATCTTTCGGTCGAAATAGGGATTTGCCACTCAACAAGTCTAGGGCTTTCTGAATGACCTCAATGTCATGAGGGGTGTCTATTTCTTTGTAGATTTTTAGATCGTCTGCATATTGTTTGCAGGTAACACCGATTTCTTCCAATCTAGGAATCAGGTCTGCTGTATAGATGTTGAATAGGGTGGGAGAGAGTACTCCCCCTTGAGGTATTCCACTACGTACGGGAAAGGTGTCTGATAGCACGGAATTGATACGCACTTGGAAGGTTCTCCCAGTGAGTAATTCTTTCAGCCATTTGGTTATCTGTTCATGAAATAGATATTTGTCGAACAAGGATAGAAGCTTTGCATGGCTGACTTTATCAAAAGCTTTCGCCTTTTGCTATTTTGCCTTTTCCCGAAGCGTTGTACCCGAAGTGCGCAAGACAAGGTTCGAGTTTCATAGAGGATAAATGTTTTGAGCATAATTCAAAGTTATCTGGAGTTCTCAAGCTGAAGTATTACCTTTACGCAGCCCTACCGGCACACCGCCACTCAATGACGTGGCTAGCTTCAAAGGAAACCTCACAGGATTGGCCACGGGAGCAATTCATTCGGTTGGAAGGATAGAGCTGTTTGTGACGTTTACCGATGCGCTCTACGTACGAAAGTGACAGAAGAGGGAGCTAAGGCCTGATACTGATTAGTGGCCATGAGTGTTACTTCTACGGCCTACAATCAGCGGCCTTGTAGTTCGCGTTCCTTAGTGTATTCTCGATTCTCTGTGCGCCATTTCAATCTGTCGTACCTCAGCCTATCTGACAGAAAGTCAAAGCCTGTAATTTGACTGCTTTTGAAGGTTTCTTCCGCCTTCTTTTCCACTTTCAGTCCATCCCGCACCTCAATGTTCATTACTGGGCGCTCTTAGACGCTGACTTTATGCTAGGATTGCCTTTTAAGGACTTTCTCCAGCAAATTTTTACGTATTCAGTTACACGAGTTGTCCCTGAGCCTCTACATCTTGCCACAGGAGATGTTTGCCTACATTCTCTTATGCTTAAACAAAGTTCGTATCTTCCAATCGCTCTTCGCAAAATGGAAAGCCGGGTTGGTTCAGCTTGGAAACGATATCTGATCCTACGGGCACTGTAAGTGCGATGTGCGTCGCATTTAGCCACTCCGTTACTTCTCACACTCCCTCTTCTCTTTCTTTGTCTTTAATAAGTTCTGCACCACAATTTTTTAAAATGAAGTGGTCTAGCTTGCCACTTCAACTTCTTCTCCACTACTACTAGACAGGCGCTCACTCAGAAAGGCTATCTTAGATGACAATGCCGATAAAGATCTGTAGGTGCGAGAAAATCTAGACGAAAGCGGATCCGCCTGCTCGAGAAAACTACAAGGAAAAGTTGGTAGTTTTCTCAATGAACGCTGTCCAGTGGTGTGTAATTCTCATCTTTGATCTTTACATTATTTATCGTTTGCTTACTGTTTAGAATTTATATTTACTTATTCAGCCTCTGAAACGTTCGCGCGTGCTTGGACAGTATTTATTAATGTTTTTATTTATCTATTTGGTGCCGATTCGGTACTATTCGGTACGATCAAGGTTATCTATCACTGATGCTACAGGATACTTGTCCACATAAATTAAGCAGTTAGAGATAAAATTGATGGTATAGCAGCGGTCGAAATGAAATTGTGGATGCCAAGTTGAAAGAAGCAAAGCAATCACCGAAGGCGACCTTAAAGGCAGTGATTACGGTAGCTCAAGAAGAGGTCTTAGAGAGACGTGGTGGTGCTCAATTGTTTGTCTGTGGCGGAAAAAGCGGAGGATTCCGTCAAGAAAGCGCAAAACGGTCCCCCTTTTCTGGCCGTTAGTTTTCACTCATGAACATTACAGCTAGATAGTTGATTTCTGTTTGTTTTTTGTTTGTATTTTTTTTCTTTTTGAGTTGCTTTCACAAATGCTATTCCTATGGAACCCGCTGTCGTTTTTGATTGACCTTAACGGTTTGGGAGGGAAATCTACGTGGATGTCTGCGTTTATCTACAGATTTTCTCTCTTCTGACTAAGCTCTACTTAGTTGAGTTTTGATGTTTATTCTGGTTTGAATTAATCTTTTGAGGCGGGTCCGAAACTGAATTGTTAGGGGTAGGGAATACCTAACATCCGAAAATTCAGTTTCGGATTCCGTACGTATGCTCCGAGCTCGTCTAGGAGTGGCGTTATCCCTAGCGCCATCCGCCTATCTGGAGTCATTTTTGGTATCACGTGTTCTGCTCAACGTGGTAACACCAGGTCTTCTCAACAATTTCTTCGATTGGGCAGAAGTTTGGTATGTATTTCCTTTTTGTCTTCCGCGTGGTAACTCTCTTTCCCTTACGAGTTAAGGTCGGTCAAGCTTCACTCTTCATTGCGGTACACTATTGGCTATGTTATAGCGCACCTATGCGTGCATCAAAATAAATAAATAAATAAAAAACTTCTTAATGGCAGCATCTCAGGGTGGGCCAAAATTATGAGGACCGCGTGCGCGCGCGGTCATATCCACTTTTTTCCGAGTCGCTCCATTTTCATCTCCTTTTCTGTGCACTATGTGAAGGGTACAATGTCTTCTTCCTAATGAAACCAAATTTCATGAAGTTCTCAAAACTAGTGAAATAACTACATCACCTTACGTCAGTCCTCAAATTGAACTCACTAGGGGCTCTGGCACGTTACATCTAGCGGCAGTCTAACGTATCAGAAGAAGCTCTTTTGGGCAACAGTTCAACTCCTCAATAAGCTTGGAACCACCACAGATGGGAAATTCGGAGACTCGAAAGTCATATTATACAGGTAATCATTGCAAAACTAAGCGTCTCCCCTTCTTAGTAGACTTTCGTATTCCCAAATGAAAAGATTGATGGGGAAACCTAGTCAGCTCTCTAAGGACTACTCATCTTGAGTGGGCATAAGAAGGCACTTCAGCGGGTTCTTGGAAAACTTTATTATCGACCAGACGGCACCCCACCAGGAACAAAGCAAAAGTTCTCTAAAAAAGCAATTATTGAGGTCGTTGCTCTGAGGGGTTTCCACAATGCGAAGCGCCACCTAAAACTCTAGACTTTCGATATTTTTTAACACCCTGAGCAGCGACCAACAGGCAAAATAAATGCCGCCAGTAAAACTTTGATCCCCTGAAGAAAGAGAGCAGAAGGCCTGGAAACATTTTGGCACGCCTCAGTTGCGTGCCGCCGCATGCGCCATCTCCCTTCATCTGAAAGGCTCGTGTGAACGGGGCAGGTGGCAGATCTCAATTCTATTCTGGAATTTACTTTGAGATAAAAGTTACAAACACTTCCCTGAAGTTTGTTTGCTCCCATCAAGCTACTATGCATTTTTAACGACACAATGTCTTGGTCCTCATGAATTTTGGCCCACCCTATACTGCTCAGCGCTTGGGGTCTGGAGATTATAGACATTTGATTGGACATTCACATTTTGCTGCGGAGCATTTTATTCAGGCTAAAGGAGAGGCGGTGAAGAACAAACGAAAGGAAGACTACGAAATACGCAGCTAGTCAAGGGCTGATCGCATTTTTCTCAATTGAGTCACCTGACATCATTAATGTGTTGGTGCCGTACCTTAGAAAGTGTTTCGGTGGAGTGTTGATTTTTACCGTATCGGATTAACCTTAAAGCAGCAAATATTGACGGGTATATCTGGTGATCATTCACCTGCGGTGCTTCTTGAGGATTCACGTTTTACAAGCGTCTAAGATATACAATATATTGCTTGTGAGACGAGGTCAAAACCGCCATTGGCTTTCTGCATAAGGAAAAACACAATCAAAATCATGCAGGTTTTATATACGAAAAACCGTTTCTGATTTCATGAAGCTGAAAGCTAGACCTAAGACTTACTTCATTTATGTAGGGATCATCATTTGGACTGGAGCTTCCTCAAAGCCGAAGAGACCCTGAAGGGACAAGAACACAATACTGAACCATTGCCCTTTCAAATCGTCTCCTGGCTTTGTTGAGAATGTGAAGGAATTTGCATGTACAAGTCATTTCATCAGATTAGTGAATACAAAACGAGGACGATATCTAACAATTGCATCAATGCGGCCTTTTTACGCCTGAACGATGTTCTACGCACCATTTTTGTTTATTTACGACTGTTCAACACACCCGTCTCGTTTCTTCATCTGTGTTTTTCAATCTTCCAGGCTCACCATTGTTGCAACGTGAATGACTATCTATTGCTCAGATTTCATACCCTTACAACCACTGCAACCATTCTGAAATTGAGCCGAACGCGTGGCTTACCCATCAGTAGTGCGGACAGAAACTCTTTGCCTTTCCTCCGAGAACAAAAATGGTTAACACAGTGTCGGGCAGGGTAGAGGAGAAGTAGAGAACCATGGTTTCATTTGAAAACGAGCCAAGGTTTGAAAGGACGGCATCATTCATTTCTTGTTTGGATACGCCACGTCTTCAACATCTATGCAAAATTGTAAAGTCACCTAGCGCTAATCTAATCTCCATAATGGCCAGAGAGGCTTGCATTGCAGTGTTGATTGTTATGCACCTTAGAATGTTTGGTGCCATTTTCGCACTTACAATAGCTGAAAAGTTGCCAAACATAGGCCGGGATTGATCCCCTTACCATGTGTGCGGTAACAGCGCAGTTTGTCCCTGTGACTGATCCGCCTCATCTAAAAATGGATTGTTGACATATGATATTCCTAACCAGTTCTCATTTGATATCGCTGTTTATCGGTTGCGGAGAATACGATGTGAACGTTGCAATTTTCACGTGTTTTTCAGCCAATCAATATTTTCGTTCTTTACTAACTAACTTTTACCAGACCACTTAACGCCTCAGGGAGTGAAGTGTGTGTGTCTGTTGTGTGTTGTCTGCTCTCGTGCTAAAGTGGCGCCATTTCAGCGCATTATGAACCACTTGTCGAGTGAGTTGAAGGGTGTGTTGAGAAAACCAGCGCTCTGTAATGAGGTGAAAGTTCCGTTCATTTCTAGCCGACCGTCACCCGGTGTTCACCCAGTTTTCGCTATGATCGTCTCGTTACTTAGACGTTGGCAATGGTTTACTGCTATTAGCCGCATTTTAGCGCGGTCATGACCGCACACGAGCAGATTTTCGATTTTCATGTGCCGATTTCCGATTGTGCTACTCTCTCCTGCCTTATTTCCGATTTCCGAATCCTATATCCAGGAGCCTCATGTTCAAAGTGACTTCTTCGAGATTCACTGAATTCATGCCTTCAAAACTGTATCGCATCACTTTTCGATTACATTGAGAACCTTTGTGATTGTTTTCAGCCGTAATGGGTCTGGCCGAGGCGTCTGGAGGTCTGTTTGGAACTGGAGTGAATCTTGAAGATGTCGAAAGAGGACTGCGAAGAGGTTTAAAGACGTCAATCAAATGTACTGGTGAAAAGGAAATCGTTCGAATTGGCGAAAATCAGGTTTTTCTTTCATTTAATTTAGTTGTTGATCATGTTGCAATCAGTACCATACAATATCAGTGATAAACAGAAAATACATATTTACACACACCGGCGTTGCATCGTAGTTGTTGGCTGTTGGCCAAATAAACAGTGTGCCAACTCCGTTTGTGGTCGCAAATAAACTTGAGCTAACCATAAGACATGAAATAAACATGAAGAAAGAGCTGATTTTTTCACTTTTATAGTTTATTGAGCCTCTTCAAGATTGTAGTTCTCACAAGCCTGACTTTTGGCTTTCTTAAGAACCTGAGAAATCGACGCCTCGGAGGCCTTCTAAGATACAACACAACCAAGCTCCAATAGCTATAAAACCTCAGTCGGTATCAGGTCCAATGCGAAAAGTGCTACCAGTTCACCTTGATGTCTGCTGCCAAGGAGCGAGACGAGACCAGCACCAGATCTTGAATTTGTGTACACTGAGCACTATTACTCCACCTCCTTGACCTTACTGTAGGTCCAAATTTAGCAGAGGCCGAAAAGGCTGTTTTTTTTTCGCTAGCTTGTATGTATTCTTGAGCACACTATTATATTATTCAAACCTCTTTTTTCAGTCTAACATTCAGTTCAGTCTAATATTTACGACTAAAATAAACAACTAAATAAGTATATCTCTTCATCAACTTATTCTATTATTGAAGTCATTTTCCGATACTTTCTAATAGTACAAGTTTTTTCAATACTTAGCAATATGTGCGGCAAGCTTTTGTTAACGGCCAAGCGGTGCCACATATTTTGGCGTATGGATGCTAGGTCATTCCCGTGAAGCCTGCCTGACTCCCGGAAGGTCTATAGGTTAGTTCAACCATTGAAGCGGAGTCATTCTCGATTAACATGAACTTGGGACTCTAAACGACTTCATAACTTTTGTTAAAGGATCTTCCAGTCATAGTGAAGCGGCAATGAACCAGACTTATGGACAAGGAGTCGTGGGATCGATTCCTGTTTTTTGCCCCTTTCAGGAACATAGTTACGAAGTCCTTCGACACTGCCACTCCATCGACAGTTGCCCACATATCGAAAGTCGGGTCGAGGTTCGGCTGCTAGACTTGTGGCCGTCCGATTGGCCGGAGATATTATCACAAGGATTGCTGAGCTGCATGCGACAACGTTACGCCGCCCCAGAATCCGAACCCGGGTCTCTTTCTTACTAATATACAGGCAGTTGTCCGGATAGAGTTACTTACTTTAGTGAGGGTGAAACGATTCGCTCGGTGGTGTTTCAGTAAGAAGTTGCCCGGATAAGCAGCACGATGCGGTCCTTACACGATCAGTCGCTTGAAAGCTCAGGCCCTAGTTCATGCGACACTCCCCACAATAGTGCTTGCCAACTTCTCTCTCACACAAATTCAAATGTTTATTTATTCTATTTATTTATATAACGGCAGTACCAATAAGGAAGTTGGCTACAAAATCGACATTTACAATAGAAAAGAATAGAACAGATAGTAGATTATATATTGCTGACAGCAGAAATATAGAGCGAAGAGGGAAGAAGTCCGTGGTAGGGCCAACCCCCCCCCCCCTAGAAAATGAAGCAGTGGGATTATAGGTAGAAGTGGGGTAAATTGGTTGAAATTTAGGGAATTTTGGTAAATTTTTACTGTTTCATAGTGGGTATATACCCCGCTCGACGGCATTTTTGGAGGAAAAAGTGGGCGGAGTTTGGTGGGTTGAGTGGTACCAGAATTAAATACTATAGAGAGGAATATGGTGGTCGAGGGTCGAAAAGGGGGTCGTACCAAGTCCACCTTTGGGGAGGGGGGTCGTAAAAATTTTTGAAAAAGTAACAACGATAGGACCGACCCTGCTCGGGGTCCTACGTGGATCAATTTCGTATCCAACACTACCAGCCGCCGCGGGAAGGGCTTCGTACCGACAAGGAGCCATCGCGCGGCAAAAGCTCAGTAGATGGACGAGTCGCGTGCTGCGCGATGTTCGCTATTCAAAATGACGCGAAATTGCAGTACGCGCTACGACTCGTCCGCTGACTCTGCCTTCTTGCCGCGCGACGGGCCTCTTGTCGGGTACCGGGGGCTTAGGACACCTGCTTAGTCGGTCCGTCGATGTTTCTCAAAGAATCTAAGGCCAGCTCCATGGAGCTGATGATGTGGGGTCGATATGACGTATATACTCGTGTCCAAATGGTCGAGTGACCTCTCAAGGTGACTCTCATAATTGTAAGAATAACAAAGGATAATTCACGACCTGTTGCCAGTGAGTCCGAGTCGCTGTACTCGCGTCTCATAACTTCCTTCAAGAAGTCGTTACACAGATTTCGAAGCTGATTCACCGTCGTTGTCTCAAGGCACGTTTATCGTCACCCATGGCAAATGCCAAACTGACTGACGGCTCTCGCCCACCTGCAGCTTTACAAGGACAAAATTGCGCGAAGACAGGAGCCATCTTTCAAAAATTTCAATGTTAAGATTAGAATCGCAAAAATAGATATGTTTAGGGATTCCTCTCCAGTGTTGGCGTCCTTCGTTGTAATTGGTCTGGTGATTCTGCCAATTTACCGACTGAAGTGGTGTTCAAGGTAAATCTTGTCAATTTCGAGTCGAGTTTCTGAGTCAGCGCTTCTTTTATAGCATTGTCTAACATTTTTTTCAATCTCCTTCATCTTCTTCTTCTTCCCCTAGCGTCAGGCCCGCGCAGTCGCAGGTCCGCTGGTCTATACATTTTCAATAATTTTCCCAATTCCAGCTCGGCAGAACTAGTATTGATTATTTCAGAAACTTTTAAGAACATTTCGTAACTAAAATTCGCGATGCGTCCTGAGTTGTTTTTACGACTTATTCACATTGTAAAACTCGACGTTAAGTTGGAAATGTGCCTGCCCTAGCCATTTGCATAGCCCAGTTGGAAATAAATGAATAAACGAAATTCCGAAAAGTCGTAAGATCGTCCCTCCCCCTTGCTGGAGGACAAGAGCTCTCGTTTGCTCAGCAGATCGAATCCCGCACCGAATATTGCCCCGAGTAGCCAAGCCTAGCATCCCTGGGTCACTTACTTGGAACCGGACTCGAAGATAAAAGCATTGAATTGTCTACTGACTGGCCACAAAAATCAACGTGTAAGGCAAATACACATTCCAATACCATGGGAGTGAAGCCCTGAATAAAAAACTCTGAATATAATAATAAATAAGTAGCAAACAAGGTAAGGTAACCATAAGTGACCTGGAGTGGCGCTGTTCTGCTCCTGCGGTGCTGGACTGGGTGAGCTTATTTCCCTCTTTCGGGTTTTGGGTTGTTTCCCCTGAAGATCATCAGGAACGCTAGAGATGTGACGCTCTAAAGGGCCTTTCTGGAACCTTGACCCACTTACAGGCCTTTGAGGAATATCTCCGAAACGTGAGACCAGTAATAAGGACTCCTCCGAAAACTCTCATAGGCAGAAGAAGAACATTATAATTACTCTGAATAGAAGCCAAATGCGTGGCGCATCCCGAGAAGTGGGCTGCTGATTCAAGCGATTCATAAACTATTAGTTATTTTCAGATAGCGACGCTCACAAATTCAGCATCGATATCAAATCGTTCAAAGAAAACAATGACAGGGGAAATAGCAAAACGAAACAGGCTGGTGTGGGAAGCAAGGGAGCGCAATCTCCGAAAGGTGACCATGTTTCTCAACAAAATGCTGACATCTTCGTCGATACGGCTGTTTCAGTGGCACAATAATGAAATCACGTTTTACGAGACAGTAGCCCAATTGCCTGTCCAGTTGAGCATCGTACCGAAACTCTATCATGGCAGAAAATTTGATAAGGTGAGCATTCAAACAGCCCCTTTTCCAAAGGTTTTAGATTTTTCACATAAAAAATACAATGACTAGTTCTGTAGCAGCTTGCCAATCGATTATCGATTACTTTCATGAAATAAAAGTATCGGGTGATGATACAGTACCACAGCTCTCATGCAGGTCAATGGTACACGGAACTAACCATAAATATCGCAGTTACTGAGCGCTCCGTAGCGCACTATCTTGCCGCGAGAGATCGCATCCCACCTAGAACAGCTATGCCTCAGTGAGGAAGTGAATTGTTCTGACTTAGATTGGCCACTGCCGAAAAATGCGGCTGGAGGGCGTCAGGACGCTCTGATTGGTTGCTCACATGACTACTAACAAGGGGTCCCATCTCGACTCCGGCGACCAAACACTGCTTCAGTTTTTAGGCAATAATATAAGTCCATGTGAAACTCGTGCCCTTAGGGCGGTGGCAAATGGCACGTACAAAGGATTTATTCATTCGCGAAAATTCAGCGGAACGTTTATGAATGTCCGTCGCGAGCGAGATTCCTGCCTTTAGGTAGGATCCTACGATAAGGTTGGAGGTTGAAGAAGAGGAAATATACTTAGTCGAAAAGTTCACCGTCAGCAGAGGAGAAAAAGTGCCAAAAAATGACAGTTAGGGCCTTTTTGCGAATGTTAAGACGAGAGACGTTGGATGCTGAGAAGCGAGATGGACAGAGATGAGTAAAAGGTACAAGATTCGGTATTCTGTATCGCGTTGCAACAAGATATGCCAACAGGAAAGTAGCAGAATCCACGTTTATTGTCTCGCGTTTTTGGGCGGTTGGAACGGCACATGGATAGCTGTACCAAACAGGGAATTGATCCAACTATTTTTGTCGTGGAATGTACATCTGAGAAGTAAAGAGATTTTACTCCAAAAATAGTAAACTATTTGCTTTTCAGGAAAACGAGAACATGGGATTTCTCTGTATGGAGTTCGCAAAAAACTCATTCCTTCTCAAATACACGACTGTTTGACTCTCGCTCAGACGAAAGAGGTTTGGTTGTTTGTGTAATTCGCATTCACTTCCCGCTTTGCTTTTTACAAATGGTACCAGCACAAGCGAAATAAAGCAATTTGAGACTAAATTGTATTGTATTATAGTTCTATTTAGCATATAGTCGCGCAGGAGTTCGAATCCGAAGTCAGAAGTCAACCGTGCCGTTCGCCACTGTTCAGAATTTTTCGCGACATGTCCTCTTTACTGGGGTCTCAATGCCGACCCGCGCCCACCATGAGACTCAGGAGGCATCCTTAATACAGCCACTTCTTTCTACCCGACACCACCTAGCCATTCATGGTGTTTGATTTCTTGAGACAGTCGACACAGCCATTCGCCTACTTTCCTCGTAACAGAGTCGAGAGCGAAGGGGGGGCGGAGATTTTCTCCACCATGCCTATCACTGACGCTGCGCATTCACGGCATATTACGAATCATTTACTTAAATCCCATTGACCCCTGGAATGCGACTTATTAGACAAAACCATCCAAATAAGACCCCCTAATTCGAAAAAACGCACGTTGCCCCTGGTTCGAGCTGTAATAGTTTTTATCCGACAGGAAGCTTTCGTTTGAGTCGAGATATGTGCTTTCAAAGTTAAGGGTCGAAATAAGATTGAATCCTTCTGAAGACGATACTGTTCCAATCTTGCAGCATTGCAACATAATAAATGTGCATTTACAATGAACTAAACGAAACTCGAGCTGCCGTTAGGGAGGATAATATTCGAAATAAATTAAGAAGAGATTATGAATGTTTTGGGATATGCTAAGAGTCCGCGTCGCAGAGATAATGCGCGGTGAAAGAGCACGAATGCAGCAGACCTTCAGAACATTTCATTATTTCTAGTGCGCTGCGGTCTCCCGCTAAATAGTAACCAACCACAACGTCACTGCTTAGCGACACTACTCCACTCCCGGTCACTATTTAGGCATGAGAGCGCAGACAGAGCAACAAATCAAAGGTTTTTGGACTACTGTACATGCCTGAAGCAATTATGGACAAGAATATCGGGAAGCCCCTCTGATAGCGCTGTCAGAACTTTTTGAGTTGAATTAGCGAGCGTTAGCCTCATTGCGACTGACAGATGTACTTTGCTAATCTTCACATATTCTCAAATACGGCTATAGTGGGATAGTGGGAAGGTATAGCACATGTAGAAGCTAATTATTCTGAGCCGTTCCTATTACGTGGACGGCTTGGTAATCTATCAGCACGTGGCCAAATCCCACCCTGTTTAGTAATCGATGAAAAAACTGTAGAGCCATACCTGCAGCAACAGCTCCAGATCAAACTGTGAGGAGGGGTGTAACAGCGGTCAGTAATGATATTGTGGATGCCGACTTGACTGAAAATGGGAAAAGAAGCGAAGCAAGCCATCGATGAATCCCTTCAGCAAGAGCTCCCTCTTTCCCCTTGGAACGAGGGAGCGGCGATTCGGACGTGTAGACTGAACTCGCTTGTTCTATGGCTCCACTAGCAGCTACGTCGTAATGCACTTGCATGCCATGGGTGCCATGCGAGGTATCTCGTCCATTACCCCACCTAGTCACCGCTAGCTCACTTTGTAAGCCCCTACATAGACCATTGTCGCGCAATTTCAAACCGCGACAACAGCACAACTGTGATGCTCGCGTGCTATTCTGTTCTACCCACAACATGTGTTATTCGACGCCACCTCATCTGGGCATTCTTCTTCGTCTATGGGCTAACCTCTACAAAGGAATTAACAGATAGGCAATGATCCGTCCCCTTTTCTCGATTACGCCATACATTTGACAAACCACTACAAAAAAAGCGCAATTAGATGAACACTTACAGGTGATACGTGCTCTGATAGACGTACAAATTGGCATGGGATCAATTGAAAAGAAGAAAGAATGCTTCAATGTGAACGTGTATGAAGAACTGTACAGCGAAATGTTGCAACCTACCGTGAGTACATACATGACTACTTTTCTTGAAGGGTCTCAACTCAAAAATGAGAGTATAACCAGGTCAAGGAAAGCACCAGCGTTAACCATCCCAGGGTGGAGATCGTAGTAGGGGCTTTCGAAGGCGGTCATATTTCTTTTTTTGCATTGTGATTGTGGGGAAAGGGGTGGGTGGTATTCAACCTTTAGGATAGGTCGTGGTTTGTACATATTTTGACGGGTCTCTGGCGGTTTGGGAGAATTTCCTTGAAAATTCTTGAA